CTGCTACTACGTCAAACCTCATGCGAACGAATTCATTGAGTCTCGGTAGTACTGCTGCTACCAGCGCGAATGGCTTCAATCAGCCACCGTTGCTGCGAACGTCGTCGCTGAGCCTGGCCACGAATCATCATCACGCGGTACATCTTCGTCCGGTGAACGCCGTGAATACGGTAATGACAAAACCGAAACCGCTCAATCTTAGCCCGACGTTCTCGCTCGGCAGCTCCGCTGATTCAGTCTCGCCGTCGTCTAGCCTCAGTCAGTCGCCGACGAACTCCATGGCGAGCTTCTTCAGTGATGACTGCAGCCAGCAGACGCTTTCATGCGGGAATATGCAGACGACACCGTTCAGTTATAGTCAAGACTTCAGTTTGCTCGCCTGCTCAAGACAAAGCCCGAGCCCGCGCAATAATGGTGTATGCAGTCCCCTCGCGTCCGATGAGGTAACACCCAGAACTCCCTCCCCGTTGTCACCTAACACGGAATCCAGGTTGCCGGTCTTTAATAGGATCAGCAGCACCCTTGGCGACTTCGATAACCTCAAGATCTAGAGCGGTCGCCGCGCGAACCGTAAAGAAGAGAGACGCGAATTCTCAACGAGTCTCGCGCTCGGAATAAAAAAGAAGAAGTTTTCACGTGAATTGACTCGAGATTTGGGCGGTAGCTTCTCTACTATGGATTCTGTCCATGATGGAATTAACGTCTTTTTTCTTTTTTACGCAGATACAAGTTTGCGTGATGCGGTTTTCCCTTATCCGTCATCGGTCGTATTCCTGAGAAGCATTTTAGGCACACGTCAGGTTTCATTACCCTTTAACTAGCATCTTTTCCTCTTCTTTTTTATATATTATTATAACCATAATCTTCATATATATCATCGTACTATTGTAATATATTATTATATTACTACAACATATATTATATTATCATATTATTATTGATACATATTTATCATCTAATATTCTTTCTTTTTCTTCTTCTTTCTCATATTCTTAGATATTCTTTTCGACGCATATCGTTAGACGCGAGTGACTTTTTAGCAGAAAAGTGAGATCAGCCCGGAAGTCTCAGTCTGCTCGTTTAGACCCGAATATGAAAATGGTTGGAGGACGGTATGAGAAAAAAAGAGAGAGAGAGGGTTCTGTGGATAGATCAGTAGGTGCCAGAGGACACTAAGCGTAAATTTATTCCGAAATGTGACTTTCCTCCGAGCAAGTTGTTTATTGATCTCACTTGGTAGATCCTCATTACGCCTTACGGTCCCCACACGAATCCACTGTCTGCGTCCGTTTCTTTCTTCCGTTCGATTTTCGAGTTACAAACAGCAACGTCGCTAAATCCGGGGCAGGTAAAATGTTGCAATATCCAAATAACATATACGATTACGTTTTGTCGAGTTTCTTTTCCGAAGAAGGAAGGGTGGGGAAAGTTGTCTCGAGAGTGAAAGGAGAATAAGCACTCCAGCGAGCGAGCGAAAGAACGAAAGAGAGAAAGAGCGAGTGGAAGAGGAGTATATGACAGAGTGAATGAGAGAGAGAGAGAGATGCGTGAAGCCAATTAACGCACTGCAAACGGCGTCGTTTGCCGCAAAAGCGGTCATCACAAAATTACAATGGATTGAATACGTTTTGTCATGACTGCCACTTTTATCGCGATCGGTTTCATTGATCCCGGGAAATATTTAGCACATCACCGAAAAATGAAACCGATTGATGGCATGAATTCATGACAATATATTTCAATTCCGCTTGTTTTATGTCCGCATAACATGAACAGTGAACGCTTCAATATTACGATTGTACGTATATGCGACTCTGTTTTAAAACCAACACCCATGCTCTCGCTAGAACAAAAGGTTTTGTTCCTGATAATTTTCACAAATGGACTGTAAAGCTGAGACTGTAGAATAGTTTTAGGATCTTTATTTTTATTTTATTTTATTAATCGTATGAGAAGCGAGCAGATAATTAGACCTTTCTCTTTTGAAAACATTCGAAAAATTCACACATCGACGCCGTTTCCAGTGATTCCGATCGTTTGATCGCGCAAGTGAGTGCCTTTTGTAAACTTCGATTGTCTTCCATATCACAATGAATAGGCTACACGTATGAAAGATGGGAGAGAATAGCGATTATATTAAAAGAGAGAAAGTGTGTGTATGTATGTATGTATGTATGTATGTGTGTATGTGTGTGAGGGAGAGAAAGAGAGAGAGAAAGTTGAAAAGAATCAACTGGACAATAATGAGAAAGGAAACAGTATGATCGATATGTGTTGCGTTTGGGCAAATTAAGTGTACGAAAAAATAGTTATATTTTATATGTATATATTTTATAAAATATATACATAATACACGACACATACACACACATACATATCGAGAAAGAACATATATACAATACTTTGTGTGATTGAATTATCCAGAACGCTCATGTCGATTCCCGACTGGCATTCTTCTTTTTCTCGGATGAAAGAAAATACTTCTTTCTCGTCGCGAAGCTCGTTGACTTTTGCCTTTCATTTTTTTTTTATATATATACATGTATATGTTACATATTTAATGATATATGTTGCACCCATGATCGCGACGAGGAGAGAGAGAGAGACTCACTTCGGCGCGAACGACAGAGCTATGGTGATGCCGATTTATTTCGTATGTATTGCCCTTTCCCAACAAAAAAAATGTGATAACTGTAATACTATATTAAAAAATGTAGTAATTATTGCATATAGAAATATTTACTATTATAAACAAATATGCTATAATAATAAAAATGCAAAGAATAAAGATGCGTGAGAGGGAAGAATGAGCAAGATTGAATGAAGGATGAACGAATAAATGAAAGAAAGAGAAAGAAATAGCGTGAGAGGCGGAAGTCGGAACGCTCGCGTGGGCCGCGTGATTTCTCGAAGAGACATTTTTCACATTTGTTTGTGACATTTCGTTCGAGACACAAGTCTAAAATTACAAAAAAAATTGTAAAAGTTCATCGCTCGCGAATCTCGACGGGAAAACGCCGACCCCGCGTTGCTTCGACGTGAATTAATAATTATTACAAAAAAGAATACGAGCGCCTACAAACTGACGTGGTTTTCGAAAATCGATATCATTCTGTATATAAGCGCTAAACTCTTTCTTATGCTTATACGAGAAATGTTTTCGTTTAATTTATATTTGGATGCAACTTTGTTATTATAGATTTACTTTATTATTATATTATTAATATAATTATTTTTATTATTATTAATTAATTATTAACTAATTATTATAATTATCGCTGTATCATTATATTATTATTATTATTCGCAAGTAATGTCACTTCATAATCAATGCTTCCAGCAACGAACGAAAAGTTCTGCCGGTTGCCTCTTTACTTCTTCTCTTTCCTTTATTTCATACAAATAAACGCGAGTGCTTCCTATTCATAAAACCCACCCGATCGCAAGCGATGTCGACGGTGTTCTAATATATTGCTACTACCGTGTTACATTACTATATATTATTATTATTATATATTATTATTATTATTATTATTTTCATCGGCATATCTATTCTATTTAGCAACAATCATTCCTTTTCACTCACTTCCATATCTCTCATTACCGTCGTCGCTAAACCAAAAAACTCGTGCCTTGTAATCAATTGTATATAGTTCGCGCTATATATAGAACCTCAAAATTATTAACGGTACGTTTTACGACACAAACGATTCGTATTATTAAGCTCTTTAATTGACAGCAATGGAATTTAGTCGCAACTTTCAACTTGATTTTCGAACTGACATCCATTACCTCTCCTAGCCGCTCGTGTTTTAGTCAACCGTAATTAAGATATGCAGTTTCAGTAACTGATTGTATCGTGGATATGATGGTATTTATGCTTCTTCTGATTCCATTATATTAGAATCGTACTTTTCTGAATACCAAGATTTTTATTGTAATTTTTTTCCTTTTTAAACGTGATTTTATTCATAGAAAAATTAATTGCTAAAATCAATTTGCTAAAAAGATTCAAAAACTTCTTTAAATCTTAAAGCGCGCCTCTAAGACACGAACGGCAAAGGATAGTGCGTGTCAATGCGAAAATCTGAACTAAATTCTATTATTGCTTACAGGAATGAAACATGAAGATTATTCTTTTCCTTAATTGAAGGCGTTATGAGCGGCAATTACATTTTATCTCGTTTAGAAATATTAAAATGTGAAAAATTAAGGTAATCATAAAGAATGTAACTTATTAAAAGTATCTCGCAACGCGTACGTATTATTAAAAAATATATTATTTCGATATATCTCTGATAAACATTCATTTTTGGACATTTACTGTATATTCTCAACATTTAGTAATAAATGATAACTTTTTAACGCTAAGATTATCAACTTTTAACTAAATTCAAATAAAATAACATAATGTACAAAATAAGAGAGACGATTTTAAAATTTGAACTTGAAGAAATGTCCAATAAAATCGAAAAGAAATCGAGAAGCTGGACCGGAAAAGAAAAAAATTTAGTTTTTAAATAATTGTGAAATCATATTTAACGCTAATTGCGCGACGTACCTAATTGCGAAGTGTGCAAGTTTCTTTACTCGAGGGAAAATGCAATTGAAACGCTGCTAAAATAACGCCTTCAATCTTCATCGTTGTGCCAGTCGTGCAATTAGAAATCGGGGACGGAAACAGAGAGAGAAAAAGAGAGAGTGGGACGAGGACAGACTGAGACAGACGCGGAGAGTGAAAGTCTCTCCTTACGCAGACGAATTGTAAGACGTCCAGGCCTCGTAACGAGGACCAGAGGGATCGGGGGAAAAAGTGCGTACAAAAAGTAACTTCTTGTCAGTCTTTTATAGATTCGACGTTGTTCATCGCGAGGCCGACATGTCCAAGAGACATACGTTTCGCGATCGACATCGTCATCGAGTGCACATGGAAGCGACGACGGCGTCCTGATCGAAGCACAGCGGCTGGACGATTGGAGTTCCGAAAATGCGTTCCGAGACGACGCATTCGAATTATCGAACGAATCGGAAATCGCCGATCTCTCGAGTCTTTTCACTTATCTTTGATTTTAGCTGGATCTGCTAAAATTTTTTTTTATAGAATTGAATGCATGCAAATATTTTGTTTCCTTTTTTTTTCTTTTTTCGCGGAACCGCAAAAAGTGGAAACATTTTTGTTTTCGTCACTGAGATCGGCATTACCGAACTACTTTTTTTTAAAACAAATTTTATTTTTAATATTTTCTTTTATTTAAATTATTGCAAGTTAAGTATATCATTATTTTCGAACAAAAATTGTTTTCTGAGTCCGATATCTCTTATTCTCGTATGTTATTTACTTGTAGAATAAGATTCGTTATGTCACTTAACACGGAAGATAAAGCCAAATATTTAGCTTATTTTCGTTAAAAAAAAATATCTTGTAGATCTCATAAATTTTGATTTACCATCCTAAGTTCAAAATATTTGGATGTCAGTGTATCGATATATATTTTCTTTGAAATTAAGCAATTGAATAATTATTAATATATACTCTTCCGTGAACTTTTGTTAAGTGAATCAACTTATTAACCCCTTGGTTGCCAAATATACATACATAACGTTCAGAACGTTAACTAGGAAGCTTGATAATAAAAGCGAATATATAATTTTAGGAATAAATAATTAACTAAAGTTCTTATTTGTTATTAATTTGTGAAATAATTATTTTAATTTAGCTAGGGGAATAGTAAATTTGAGCAATACATAATTATGTCGTACCGGTGCATTTCTATTTCGTTTATTGCAAACTTGGAAAATATCGTTTCATGTATCGCAACTAAAGGGTTAATTGTACTCGAGCTCGGACACTTT